ATTTGTTTAATATGTGAATAACCTTCACATATTATTCATTGTTCAATTATCATGAACTAGGTTGCTCTTGCTGAGCGGTACCTATTTATGTGATTTGAACCAGATTGAATATAATAAAAATCGGTGGATGAGAGGGTAACACGCTCGATTCCCGATATAAGTCGGTGGATGAGAGGGTAACACGCTCGATTCCCGACAGTCATGAACCGGGATTAAATCCCGCGTTAAAGTTTTGTTTAATATGTGAATAACCTTCACATATTATTCACTGTTTCAATTATCATGAACTAGGTTGCTCTTGTTGAGCGGTACCTATTAATGTGAATTTGAATTGAACCAGATTGAATATACTTTTATTAATCGTACATATAAGATTATACAGTCGAACTTGGATAATTCGAACCCCAAGGGACCATAAAAAAAATCGAATTATCCAAAAATTCGAATTAAAAACGGAAATTCTATTTATAGGAAATTCTAGGGACCAAGATAAATATTCGAATTAAAGAGGTTTTCGAATTAAAGAAGTTCGAATTATCCAAGTTCTACTGTATAAGGTTTAAAAAAAAAGTAAAATTAAATATTATTTTCATAAATATTTACACACCCAAGATAGAGAACATTGCTGTGATAGAGATGTACGGATGCATCTGAGGCTCTTCATTGGACACGACAACAACAATAACAGAAAATTGACAAGGACCCAAAACAACAGCTTTACACACCCAAGATAGAGAACATTGTTGTGATAGAGATGCATGGAGACATCTGAGGCTCTTCATTGAACACGACAACAACAACAGAAAATTGACAAGGACCCAGAACAGCAGCTTTACACACCCAAGATAGAGGATATTGCTGTGATAGAGATGTATGGAAACATCTGAGGCTCTTCATTAGAAACGACAACAACAACAACATAAAATTGACATGGACCCAGAACAACAGCTTCACACACCCAAGATAGAGAACGACTGCTGTGATAGAGATGTAAGGAGACATCTGAGGCTCTTCATTGGACACAACAACAACAATAGAAAATTGACATGGACCCAGAACAGCAGCTTTACATACTCAAGATAGAGAACATTGCTGTGATAGAGATGTACGGAGACATCTGAGGCTCTTCATTGGCCACAACAACAACAATAGAAAATTGACATGGACCCAGAACAACAGCTTTACATACCCAAGATGAGAACATTGCTGTGATAGAGATGTAAGGAGACATCTGAGGCTCTTCATTGGACACAACAACAACAATAGAAAATTGACATGGACCCAGAACAGCAGCTTTACACACCCAAGATAGAGAACATTGCTGTGATAGAGATGTACGGAGACATCTGAGGCTATTCATTGGACATGACAACAACAGAAATCCCGCATGTCTTTCTTTTAAACGAAAATACGAAATTTATTTTTAAGAAGAAATAACGATCATTTCTAACCATAGAGATGAGGTATGAAAGGATGAATTGTGAAGAGTAATGATAAACGGAAAAATAAAAGTGTCCAGGGATGAGAATTTATTTTTCCGTTTATCATTACTCTTCACAATTCATCCTTTGATACTTCATCTCTAAGGTTGGAAATAATCGTTATTGGGAATAAATTTTGGTTTTTCGTTTAAAAGAAACACATGCGGGATAGTTTTTATATAACCTAGCAATGTAAATCCTACACATAGCTTTAAAAGATCTCCATAGATAGTATTAGATATTCCAAAATAGGAAAATTTCGATACATACTTTTATAAAAATATCTTTAAAAACCTTACGCAATACGTTTTGACAAAGTTACTATTACGGGTTATCACACAAAAAGCAATAAACAAAGGCCTACAGAAAGAGTAATTTAAACAGAAAAATCGTACACTCAAGAATACAATACAAAAAAAAGTAAATAATAAATCACAATTTGTTAAATGAAATAAAAAAACAGTACTTATCTTTATTGTTGCGTTGGTAGGGATCGGACCGGGGTCACATAGGTATGCGAGGAGATCACCAGACACGGATATAACACACAGAGAACACTTTAAGCGTCTCCACACGATAATCCACCACACTCCCCCTCGACTCCTCTCGCAATACCATAGCCCCCTTATATATACAAACATGGCCACATTCGTCCAATGAGAAGGCGGGAGAGATTGGTTCACTATCAAACGATAACAAAATCCTTTCCCCTAAGACCTGAGATAAGATTTTAAAAATGCAAATATTTGTCAATATAATTTTACAGTTTCTTTATTTACATAAATACCGCAAGCTTTCGAGTTCTCGATCTTCAACAGGAGAAGTTACAACTGAGAATGAGCATTGGGAGGGGGACGAGATTTAGTAAATGATGGAAATTTAATCTTTCTGTCCTATATTAGCTATATGTATATCAAAATTCGAAACTATTATAGACGCGTATGATTCTTTTTAAAAAGTAAACAATTTCTTCTGTCCTTACTGCAATGAAAAAATTAATGGGAGGGCCTGACATATCAGTGGTGAACCCTCCCAACGGTTTCGCCAGTTTAATCTACAACCATACCGTTGTTATTTTGCATTTTTCAATATTACCTTTATAGTAATACTAGCGGACGTACCCGGCTTCGCCCGGGTTTTTACCCGAGTAAAGGTTTGTCTAACGAATCTCTCGATAAAGTGAACATTTTTTCCCGGTCCCTTTAAAAATACTCGATAAGTTGAATAAAATCAATATTAATTGGTTCCCTCGGTAATTGGAAGTTAAAGGAATAGTATCTTGCCTTGGAATTGTATCATTATTCTTGTCTCAAATAAATTTCCGTGTCATCCTGAATTTTGTCTTTCCTAATTTTCTACATTACAAAATCATCGTATCATCATGATAATATTTAGAACAGATTGTTGAATTATAACAGATAAATTAGAATATTTATCTTGATTATTTTAAGGCGAAAAGTTATTTCAAAAATTTTATTTGCTAAAATCCTTCCCAGTACTATACTAAATAATTTCCCAAAGTTTCATGGCGTTCCAATGAGTGGTTTGGTCAGGCATAAAAGACAGACACACATACATTTATATATATATATATAACTAGACGAATGACCCGGGCAACGCCCGGGTTTACCCGATTAAATGTTTTATTCAAACACTATTCGTTACAATTATAAATTGGCGCCGTGGATGTCACTCTTGTGAAACGTCCCGCTCCAAACTTTACAGTCAGATTAGTTACGATATAAATCTTCAAATCGAGCGAGCGTCTATAAATATTTCGATTTAGATCAAGTATTCTAATTATTAAGCGAACACTATTATTAATAAAATTTTGAGAAGATTTCGATTTTAAACGTATTTATAACCTTGATAGAGGGCGCTGTTCGTGAGCTAAGTAGAATAATTTGAATATATAGTTTTAATATTTAATTTATATATAATTTAAAATAGCCTATCGTTTTCCTCGTATTTTTTTTACCTATGTATGGAAATTTTGGTTTGAATTAGTGAACTACTGCGAATTTGTATACCGGACATACAAACCAACAAACAAACAAACAAACATACAAACATTCATTTTTATATATATAGAAGATATAATATAAATGAGTTTTAAAAATTGTTTTAAAAAATGCATCGGCCGGGAATCGAACCCGGGCCGCCCGCGTGGCAGGCGAGCATTCTACCACTGAGCCACCGATGCGTATACAAAATGGCCATATTTGGGTATTCATTCCATTCCGGATTACTCCGCGTAAAAAAAAAGTTCTTCAAATGAAAAAAAGAAATAGCCAAAAATACTAAGCAAATTGTATCCAAAAATTTTCCTCAGTTTTATAAAAAGCGACATGCAAAATTTGGTACCAATTGGTTCAGTAGTTTTTGAGTTTATCGCGAAACAGACAGACAGACAGACAGAAATTGACTTTTATATATATAGAGATTAGTGTTTAGGTATTTGATTTAATTCATATAGTTGATATAATAGTATATATTTAATATAATAGTATATATTTATATTATATTTTTTATAAATTAGTTTTAAAAATTGTAAAAAAAAATGCATTGGCCGGGAATCGAACCCGGGCCGCCCGCGTGGCAGGCGAGCATTCTACCACTAAGCTACCGATGCTTTAAAAAAAAATGGCCATATTTAGGTATTCATTCCATTCCGGATTAGTCCGCGTAAAAAAATAGTTCTTCAAATTAAAAAAAGAAATAGCCAAAAATAATAAGCAAAATGTAGCCAAAAATTTTCCTCAGGTTTATAAAAAGCGACATGCAAAATTTGGAACCAATTGGTTCAGTAGTTTTTGAGTTTATCGCGAAACAGACAGACAGACAGGAATTGACTTTTATATATATAGAGATATATATAGACACATGCGTCTATAATAGTTTCGAATTTTGATAACAGATGGCGCGCTAATGAATCATAATCCCTATATATAGTCACGACCGTCTTTCCTCATCGGCCTCTCTGTCACGGATGCGCGCGGACAGGGAGGTCACATGCTCGCCGGCAGCCAATAAAAAAAAAAATAATAAAACTCCCTCGAGCCGGATTTGAACCAGAGACCTAAGGATCACCGTTGTAACATCTACAGTCCTCCGCTCTGCCAACTGAGCTATCGAGGGATACAAACTGCATGAATAAGTTTACCTTATAAAGTCAACTAATCCTATTTCTACACAAAATGTATCCCTATATATAGTCACGACCGTCTTTCCTCATCGGCCTCTGTCACGGATGCGCGCGCACAGGGAGGTCACGTGCTCGCCGGCAGCCAATAAAAATAATAAAAAAAACTCCCTCGAGCCGGATTTGAACCAGCGACCTAAAGATCACCGTTGTAACATCTACAGTCGGGTAAAACACGGGCGTTGCCCGGGTCATTTGTATTATATAAATATATGACGTAACGAATTATATTATCATTATTATCATAATATTCTGTGTGTTCCCGAATATTATTATCAATAATATTCGTTAGGCAAACTTTCACTCGGATAAAACCAGGGCGAAGCCGGGTACACATCCGCTAGTATATGTATATGTAAAAAACAATAGAAAAAAAATAATAAAAAGGTCAGGTGTTGATATGTATATGTTGATTTTTAAAAATTACTATGACACGCGGAAGGTCCCAGGTTCGAGCCCTGGCAGAAACACCGGTTTTTTTTTTCGCGATCATTTAATAATTATAACAAACTAGCCGAATGACCTGGGCAACGCCCGGGTTTTACCCTATTAAATGTACCGTATTCAAATACTATTCGTTACAATTATAAATTGGCGCCGTGGATGTCACTCTTGTGAAACGTCCCGCTCCAAACTTTGTGTCTGAGAAGCGATATTTTATAGAAAGATGATCTGGCTTTTGTTTTCTGCTCGAATGAATGTTTTTCTGTTAGAATTTTGTTCCTGCATACAAAATATTGAACTGGTTTCACCCGTGGTCTCTGCTTTTTGGAATTTTTCCCGATATAATTTTGTATCTGATAATCAAACATAATACAGCAATATCGTCATCATCATTTTCTGACTAAAAATATATAGTTTTAATAATTGATTTATATATTTTTAAAAATAGCCTATCGTCTTCCTCGTATTCTTTTACCTATGTATGGAAATTTTGGTTTGAATTAGTGAACTACTGCGAATTTGTATACCGGACATACAGACAAACATTCATTTTTATATATAGAGAGATATTAAAATAGACCAATATATAATAAATTTAATGAAAAAACTAATTTATTATTATTTAATCACATAAATTACATAATATTATTTACATTATTTAAAAAATAATTCCGTAGAAATCGATCGTAGATTTATGCTCGTCTGTCTAGCATTCCCCATCGCTGGAGTCATATGAATCTTCGCTTTGGTTGAAGGAGTAGGAGGGACTAGAGGGGGTGTATTCTGGAGTGTTGGGGGTGTAGGAGGGGCTAGTGGGAGAATAGCGGGGGCTAGTCGACGAGTACGGGGAGCTAGTCGGCGAGTACGAGGGGCTTGTAGCCGAATAGGAGGGGCTAGTGGGAGAATAGCGGGGGCTAGTCGGCGAGTACGATGGGCTTGTGGGTGAGTAGGTGGGGCTTGTGGGTGAGTAGGTGGGGCTTGTGGGTGAGTAGGTGGGGCTTGTGGGTGAGTAGGAGGGGCTTGTGGGTGAGTAGGAGGGGCTTGTGGGTGAGTAGGAGGGGCTTGTGGGTGAGTAGGAGGGGCTGGTAGCCGAGTACGAGGGGCTAGTGGGAGAATAGCGGGGGCTTGTAGCCGAGTACGAGGGGCTTGTGGGTGAGTATGAGGGGCTTGTGGGTGAGTATGAGGGGCTTGTGGGTGAGTATGAGGGGCTTGTGGGTGAGTATGAGGGGCTTGTGGGTGAGTATGAGGGGCTTATGGGTGAGTATGAGGGGCTTGTGGGTGAGTATGAAGGGCTTGTGGGTGAGTATGAAGGGCTTGTGGGTGAGTATGAAGGGCTTGTGGGTGAGTATGAAGGGCTTGTGGGCGAATAGCTTGGACTTTTGGCGGAATATATAGGGCTTGTCATTGAATATCTAGGACTTTCAGGCCCATAGTTCGGGCTATTTGGACTTCTAGGCGAAAAGCATGAGCTATCTGAGAAACGGCTTGGGCTATCCGGACTGAATTGTGGGCTGCCAAAGGAATATTCACTTGAGTAATCAGGTGAAAAGGCACCTTCCGGGGAATAGATGGGGCTGAGGTATTCTGTTCCAAAGTTGGACTGGTTCTTGTTGAGCCATTTCAGATTGGAAGATGAATCTTCGAAGTTTGCATTAGGTACATCTTTGAATATCTTCTCGACGTTATTGCTGAGGAGGCATTGGGATAAACCAGTTCCAATACGGCATTGTTTGCCTACCATGATGCATTCGGATACTCCCTTAAGGTAATCTACTTCCGCGTGGCAGGCAGCTTTCGTAAGGACATCCACAGATTCTTCGAAAGAGCATCGCATAAGTGGTCCATTGTCACGTCGGTTGATGCCATGACGTGTGATTGCCATCAGATGTCCTTTAGCTGTCATGACATCACAGAGAAGAGCAAGATGACGTGAGTTGACGTAGGATCCATCGAAGGAAATCAAGTTGTTAATTTCCTTCTCAATATTCTTCCGTACAGCTTCAATGCCAAGAACCTCAAAGGTTTCGTAGATGTCATTGGAGTATGTTCTGACAGAATCGACATCTCGGAGGGCCAGGACTTGCTGAAGTCCATTTCCATCGGTTTCCAGTACCCATTCTTGGACTTTCTTCATCTCCCCATTCTCAGCGATAATGGTCCTCTTCTTGCTATCATCGTTAGGTAGTTGCATGTAGACCCTTGAAATTGATGGAATTCCTTGAATGGTCATATCGTTGAGCATTGAATTTTCAATATGTTTCAGAAAGATTTGATCTTCCACTTCATAATTTTCGTCTTCAGCTACAGATCTTAGACGTAAAACCAGTTGTTCACTATTATCATCTGAGAAGACGCAATTCAGGTCATCTCCAAATTCTTTGTTAATTGCTTCTGCTATCATTTCCATTGAAACCTTATAGGCGACCATATTTTTGCGATTCATCACAAAACGCAAAATCCAAGGTGAAAGAGGCCTAGAATTGTCGTCAGGTAATTCGTTGTAGAGATCTACAAGTTCCTGATCTTCTGGAATGACAGTCTTTGTCGTATCAGGATCATACCAGACATTAGAACACTGAACAAATTTTTTCATTGTGACGTGTTCCATGCGGCAAGCTATTTCCTTGGCAATCTCAGCATTCGTAGCTGCTTCTCCAGTCAGGTAGATGGTCAATGAAGGAGTCTTTGGATTCTTGGAAAGGTTGAGAATCTCGTTGAGACGGGGTACACCAAGAGTTACATTCTTAGCTGAAACTCCGGCATAGTGGAAAGTGTTTAGAGTCATCTGGGTAGCTGGTTCACCCAATGACTGAGCAGCTATCATCCCGACCATCTCTCCTGGATTAACCAAACTTCTTTGGTATCGTTCCTCAATTTCTTCAAGAACCCAATTAAATGATTCTCTATTGAGACGATATTCTTCGGTAACCTTCTTGGAGCAAAAGGTCGAGCGGATTAATCCATGGAGAAGAATATTTGGTTTGGTTTCGATACCATTATCTTCTTCCATATTTAGAACACTTATTAGATCTTCTACTTCTTTTGTCACTATTCTAGGAGTCAAGTCTGTGGTGTCCGTTCTGGGATCGATTTTGTATGTGTGCTGAGCTTGTTTGATCAATTTCTGTAGGTTGCATGGAAGAACGACCTTGCTTTCTCCTGAAGGGAAAATGGATCTTAAGGTTTCACGATCTTTCTTCAGCCTTTCCCATTCATTCATCACAGCTGTGACAGTCTCCTCGCTTTTCATCTCTTCCAGTGCCTCATAGGAGAAGATGTTCTTAATTTTATCTTCATTTTTGATATCAAACTTGAACTTATTTTCAAAAGCTTTATCAGAAGGAGTAATAATAGGAATGGTTTGGGATTCCATAAATGCTCCATCCATTCCATCTTCACCATAAGCAAATTGTAAAACTTCATCACTGCTATTACGTACTGTCCCATCGTACTCTACCATTAGATCTTCCATGGCTTTGACCAGACGTCTCTGGATGTAGCCAGTTTCAGCGGTCTTCACTGCCGTGTCTATGATACCCTCACGGCCTGCCATGGTATGAAAGTAAAATTCGATAACATTTAATCCGTCGTGGTAGGAATCTTCAACAAAACCCCTGCTCAAATAACTATAATCACATTTAGTGAAGCATGCTAAAGTTCTTTTATGGTATCCATCTGGGACCCGTTTCCCCCCAATACCTTGCTGTCCTACGCAAGCCATAATTTGTGAAATATTGATCTTGGATCCTTTCGATCCTGAGTCAACCATTTTCTTAAAATTGTTGAAATGCGTTAGAGATTTTTCAGCTAAGGAGCCCGTTTTATCTCGAACGGTATTCAAAGTTTTGCTGACCTGCGATTCGAATGTATTAAACATGCTATTTCCAGGGAGAAGTTCAAGAGTCCCTTTGAGAGATTTATCCCAAAATTCCATAACTTCTACTTTGGCTTCCTCGATCTCATTTTTTATCTTGATTACGGTATCTTCTTCGGCGACTGTGTCTGAATAGCTTAGAGTAAGGCTAACTTCAACAAACCAGTTATTTACAATTACTTGGAGGTTGTTATAAAAGGCTGCTGTTCTACTAGGACCAACTTCCATGAATAATAGATGCATTAATGAACCTTCTGATGTTCCAACAATTTTCTTGCAAATGATGCCTGATATTAGTACTCCATTTTGGATGATTACTCTTGTATCACCTGGAGTGATCCATTTATATGGGCCAGTATCTTCAGCACTATCATGAGCACTATGTTTACGATCCAAGTTAATATTTTCGTTGAGGAGTATACTGAAAAGTTGTTTTCCAGTCCATAGAGGTTTAGGTTTGATAATGGTTGGCGGAGGAATTACGCCATCCCAATCATTACTTTGAAATAAGATTCTCATCAATTCTCCTTTCTCGATGAAGACGTCTCTTCTGGTCATCATGAAAACAGCAGTGAGTGTGTCCTGGACGATTCCCATGCAAGGTTTGTTAGCCTGAGGGGCAACGATTTGAGTGGGAACTAGGGAAAGCTGCTCCACTTCAACCCGAGTGGCTGGGTCTTGGGGAACATGAAGGTTCATCTCGTCTCCATCAAAATCGGCGTTGTAGGGCGTGGTGCAACTAAGATTCATCCGGAAGGTTGAAAAGGGAAGAATTCGGACTTTATGAGCCATCATGGACATCTTGTGCAAAGATGGCTGTCGATTGAACACCACCACGTCACCGTTTATCAAACATCTTTCCACGATGTCACCTGTCATCAGGACAAGATCGGAAGAATTCTTATTCATGTGAAGATTTATCCGTTGTCCATTTTCTCTTATAATGGCGCTTGCTCCTGGAAGTTGGAAGGGTCCGTTTTCTACCAGACTTTGCAGCCATTCAATGTTGTACTTGTGAACAGTTTCTGGAATGGTGAGGGTTTTTGCAATTGAAATGGGAACACCAACTTCATCAATTCTCAAATTGGGGTCTGGAGAGATGACTGTACGTGCAGAGTGATTAACACGTTTACCCATGAGATTGGTTCTAAT